ATTTTTTGTCAAATTTTCTGGGCTGTCCCCTTCAAATGCATGGGGAGCCCCATATGACCAACTGCGAAGGCCATATCTTAGGAAATATTCATCCGATTCTTAATCGGAATACTTTAAACAATTTGTTGATCGATTCTTCATAAATCTGCATCAAAATCTGGGAACAAAATATTTTTAAGATTTTTTGTCAAATTTTCTGGGCTGTCCCCTTCAAAATGTGCAAAATGCATGGGGAGCCCCATATGACCCACTGCGAAGGCCATATCTTAGGAAATATTCATCCGATTCTTAAAAGGAATACCTTAAACGATTTGTGGATCGATTCTCCATAAATCTGCATCAAAATCTGGGAACAAAATATTTTTAAGATTTTTTGTCAAATTTTCTGGGCTGTCCCCTTCAAAATGTGCAAAATGCATGGGGAGCCCCATATGACCCACTGCGAAGGCCATATCTTAAGAAATATTCATCCGATTTTTGAGCGGAATACCTTAAACGATTTGTGGATCGATTCTCCATAAATCTGCATCAAAATCTGGGAACAAAATATTTTTAAGATTTTTTGTCAAATTTTCTGGGGAGACCCTTTCAAAATGTGGAAAAATGCATGGGGAGGTCAATAGGGGCCACAGCGATTGCCATATCTTTGCCTTTTTTGATCCGATCCTTAAGCGGAATACGTTAATCGATTTGTAGATCGATTCTCAATAAATCTGCATTAAAACCTGGAAACAAAATATTTTTTAGATTTTTTGTCAAATTTTCTGGGGAGACCCCTTCAAAATGTGGAAAAATGCATGGGGAGGGCAATAGGGGCCACAGCGATGGCCATATCTTTGTCGATTTTGATCCGATCCTTAAGCGGAATACGTTAATCCATTTGTAGATCGATTCTCAATAAATCTGCATTAAAACCTGGAAACAAAATATTTTTTAGATTTTTTGTCAAATTTTCTAGGGAGACCCCTTCAAAATTTGGAAAAATGCATGGGGAGGGTAATAGGGGCCACAGCGATGGCCATATCTTTGTCGATTTTGATTCGATCCTAAAGAGGAATACCTTAATCGATTTGTAGATCAATTCTCCACAAACCTTCCAAATTTATCTAATCTTTGCCATTTCTACTTGATATCCAAGCTATCAAATCCTGGAAATTAAACTATCCTGGCACAAAACACATCATTACTGCTATGGACCAAACACACTGACCCATAGCCCAACTCATTTCACCTGCTCACCTGCAATTCCGATTCCCCGCCCGCCCACGCACACCCACCATCAAAAGAAATACAAAAATTAAAGGCAGAAAAATGATAAGCCATAAATTGCCCGCCCAAAAGTCTTAAAAACAAATACAAGTTCTCCTCAGCTTGGAAGTAATTAAAGAAGCGATCAGGACTGAGGTGCTGGGGACCCTGGACCTGGTCTTGTAGATACAAGAGTTGCGGTTGTAGATACAATTAAAACTACACTTTTTCATATGCAATGGCAATCGGTGTGATTGCAGCTGCGTATCTGTTGGGTTAATTCGTATCTTGGCAATCGATCGAATTGCGAATAAAAAAAAGCTTTCAATTAGAAAAAGTCTAGTTTCAAGTATTAGAGGAAGGCCTGGAAGATATCGAAGATGAAAAGGGTTGTGGATTGTTTGGATTTGTGGGCGTATTAGGTAATCATTGTTATGAAATTAGTTTTAGATACTCTTACAAAGAAGAGGAGTTTTCAAAAAATGTGATTTGAAATGAAAGAAGTTATTAAGATTTTGAAAAAAGATTACCCTTATAATTACCCATAAATACTTCATAAAACAGAATATACATTAAGTCCCAAAATTCGTATTTAATTATACAGAGTATTAAACGTATCTTTAGTCTAGGCCAAGTTCTATTTGGCTAGTTCCGTTTGCGTGTTGCCAACTCTGAACGTTGCCAACTAATTCGATTTGTTTGGCTGGCCATTAAATGCATAAAGGATCATCGTGCTGCAGATCTCGCTTTGCGGTTCTCTGCTGCCCGCTAACATATGTTGCATTAATTGTTCATGTTGCCTCAAAAAGCAACTCATGTTCAATGAGTTTTATTGCTGCTCGACACACACTGAAACACCGAAACAAAACAATCTTTACGTTTTTCTCCTTTTCAGTAAAGTTTTTTTTTTTTGCTGTTGCTGTTTGTATTTCTTTTCGAGTTTTTTTAAGCTGGAGTGCTGGCACGAAACAAATGAAAAGAAAAATTGCGCACAAAACATTTTTCATTACGTGATTTTCGAGCATGCCACAAAGGGCAGGAACGGCGTGGCAGCAACGTAGGGATGGAGGCAGGGGCTCTGAACAACCGAAGTGGCGACAGCCGGCAAAGTGCCATGTATACAACATGCTGAGGGGTTAACAGCAGCAACAGCAGCAGCATCCATAAGGATCCCATCCCGTCCCAACCCAACCTATCCGATCGGATCGGATCGTCTCCTTAGTCTCTCGGCCTTTTTGCATTCCCACACGCGATCCCAATCGTCGCGGCCAAAGCTGAGCTAAACAGCAGATACAAATGTATCTATGAGCTGCAGTCGCGACTCGCGACTCAATTACAATTTATTAAAAGCCGCGCAAACTGATTTATAACCGGGCAACTCACTAGAGTTCAGGCCAGGAGGATGACTAGGTTTCTACAACCTTGGACCGTGGGATATAGGTAGATAAGTCTAAAATAGATTTAATTTTAATAGTCAAAGCTTTATAATTATTCTAAAAATATTCCCTTTTTTTAAGAACAAATATAGTACTTAATGGTATCCTTAGATATATTAAAATATATATTTTTTTATTTAATCCTCTAGATAGGCCCAAGGTATACGATTCACGTGTCTGGACTTAGTGTCTGGAGGGGACTTGGCCGTCTTGTTTTGGCCTTTTTGGTCTATGGGCCTTGTGGGGGCAAATTGGCGGCTTATTTGTGTGTGGAAATTGCCTGCCAGGCTGTAGCCTTTGCCGTTGCTTCTGCAAAGGTGGAAGGAAGGCTTCAGGAAGGCTGAACCTGGGATCTCATCTGTGAAGTTCAAGGGGGGAACGACTAAATGGGGGAAATGGAGCTTTAACAATACGGCGCCTTGGGTTGCTGGTGGTGACAGTTGCTTGTCAACAGCATACACGATCCCCCAGAGGAGGAGGGCCGAGGGGATCATGATCTATGAAGCCTGACAACAACTACAATAAAAAAAGCTGTTAGATGTTGCACAAGATGATCTATGGCTTGGATATAGGAGATGGGTAAGGGCAGCTACATGTTTTATTTTATTGATACAATTTCTTCTTAAACCTAAAGTTACAACTTCAAAACTTTCCCATGATTAAAACCAGTTTTAAGGGCCTGATTTATTGTCAACCAGTTCGCAGGGAGAATGACCAGTCAAAATAACAGTTATATGAACAAGGACCCTTCAATAAAATTTAAAATTAATGCATTTAACACAAAATATGATTGCCACAATTTAAGTTCCGAATGGAGGAAACCCACAATCAGCTAAACGTTGCACGTTGCCTGTGAGAAATTAACGAGAATTAAGCGACCTGCCCACCTAATGCTCCAGATACAGCGACACATATCTTCCGTACCTTGCTTTTTATTATAAATTTGGTGTTTTGTTTTTTTGTCTTTTTTGGGAAACGAAACTAGCAATCAACAGCATTCCTTTTAATTTCAACTTTTTGCATTGGTCCTCGTCGTCGTCGTCCCAATGGTCCGAAAAATCAAAAAGTCCAAATCAAAACCAATAATAAAGTTAAATCGATAATTGAGGTCAGGTCGGGAGAAGAGGTATTTTTCGGGGCGATCTGGGCGAAAACATTTTCGGGGCCTTTGGCGGACATACGTGATCGTTTAACTGTAAATTAAATATAATTTACCAATAATCATAATCACAATATGCAGTTTCTGTATCTGTTTTGCTGTTTCTCCTCTCCCAGTCCCAGTCTTAGTTCGCAAATCTCAACGCCGTCAGATTTGAGCGCTGATCTTGAAGGTGATTTGATCCCCTTAAGCCAGACGCATAAATCATCATCTGGCGGATACATTTTCTGGATCGATAACTGTCCAAACGCGCGCCTCGCAGCTGATGGCCAAAAAATAAAACTCGGCCCAAAAAAACCGTAAAAAAAAGAATTTGCCGAGTTCGCTGATCGATTGGATATTTTGTTTCATTTTTCATATATAGCTGGGGTTTTGGCTGGGGTCTCACGCTCCTCTGATGAACGTCTGACCGGGTGCTATAATTAAATGCTAAATTCAAAATCGCATAGACAGGCATATGTTAGGCAAAATTGACGCTGAACGCTCAACAAATTAATCTGTGAAGCATAAAGGTCTTTCTATAGACAGCCATTAACAAATAAATTGGTGTATGAATTTGAACTCATACAGTACATAATACCACTTCCGGTTAATTGATTGTTTCCGATACAATTATGAATTTTGAACAAAAAAAAATTGGCCTAATAGCTATTTAGCTACAATTACACAAAATTGTATAATGTATTTTTAAAAATTCTACCAAATTTTTAAAAGATGTTGTATTTGTGAAAAAAGTAAGGATTCTTTGAGAAACTGGCTTGGCATTTGAAAAATTAAACAGAATTATAATACAAATGACATCCTAAAATGCTCTAAAAAGGCTTTATACCCTTTGAGAAGAATTCTCTGAGAAACTTAATAGATTTTCCCAAAGCTTAAATTTTAAAGCAAAAATAGCCTAAATAAAATCGAAACTAAAACCCTATCTCCATCTAAGCCAAAATTTCTACCTTCAACCGAAAATTTTAATAAAAAAATAACCAATTTAAATTTATTTAATTGCTTTTATGCAATCTCTTTAATCAATTTCAGAAACCCCAGACACCTGGAACAAAAATAATTAAGTAAAACAACCATTTTGTTATTTTTGCAATAATAATTTATTATTATATATTATTTTTAAACTTTTTGCTTTTTGTTACGATTGTTGTTGTTGTTGGTTTTTTGTTGTGTTTGTTTGTGTTTTGTTTATTGGTGTTATTTTAGTTTTAGGTTTTTGTTTTGCTCTTCTGTCAGTTGCTGTATTAATTTAATCATATTTATTTTAATAATTTTGTGTATTTTTGCCTGCCAGTGGCGAATTGTTGCACAATGTCCCTCTGAACCATTATTGCTGATGCTGATCCACGGAACTATGTATGTAGTTGTTCTTTGACTATTGTTATGACTAAAGTTAATGTGTTTTGTGTATATATATGTATAGGGTGTATATATAATAGCGTATGAAGCGTTTAAATAGGTTTAATGTCAATTTTTTAATCATTCTTGCTTCCTTCGATTTGTATTTGCTTTGTAACATACTTTTTGAATGACGGGCATACAAGTTGGGTTTTTTGTTTAGCATTTATTATTATTATTATTAATATTCAGTATTAGATATATATAATATGAATTATTGTTTACTGCCTAGGCAAGTGAAATACTTGAAGTTAATTATTTCTTTTTATTAGAGCTATTTTTAGTATTATGAGCTTAATGCCATCCTCTTCTAAGCTAGTGAATAAATTAAAATCTTAACATTAAAAAATTACCTCGTAAAATAAATCAAGGATTCATTCATTAATATTAAAACACTAAAAAGCGGCTCATAAAATGTATCATTTTATTTCCTAGATATCTACGATTTTCTTTCATATATCATATACGCGTTTTTAATATATATTTTTAAGTATATTTTTTGTTACATTTATATACTCGAATTGAAGCTATATCGTAGTGTTTATAAGCAATGCTAAAAATGGTTTTTTTTCCTTCACTTTTAGGTTTTTATTTTATTTTTTTTTTTGGGACGTTAAATGCTAGGTGTGTCAACTAAGATTTTTTGTTTCAGCTTTTCGTTTTCCAATTTTCCACACTCTATATAATTCATTAAAAAGTCTTTCGTATCGTCTGCTATTTACAAAGTATCCTTAAGCTTACTTCGGCAAGTTATTTTATCTAAGCACTCTAAATGGGGATATCGGAAGTTCTTTGCGTTTTTCTCTATATATTTGTTCTTTTATTCTTTCTATATACAAAATGGCCGTTTCAACGTTTTTTAAAAACTCATAACTCTCACTTTCTACTTTTAAGTTTTATCTTTTATATACACACTTTTTATTTTTAAATTAAACTCGCACTCAAGAGCAGCCGCGCCAGATTGGATTGCACTCTGAGATCAAAATAATTCTCGCCACCTCACCTTACACCTTGTACCTGTCGAGGTGTCTTTAATTGGCGCTTCCGAAGAGCACAGAGTTCTTGTAGTAAGCCGTCGGCCTCTCCGAAAGAGGACTCTTCACGTCCCGCTCGGCATTGGCGGCCCGGGTCTTGCGCTCCATTTCCAGCTCCTGGGCCAGGGACTCTGCAAAGATTCGGGGAGAAAAGAATAGGGAAATATTTTTATTTAAGAAATAATTTAATATATTTAATATTTAAAATTTATATTACTAAATATATACATCTATGAAAAATTAAGAAAACTAATTTTTGTTTTCAAACTTTACTCACCGGAATAGTTTTGCCAGAAGGCTCCAGTGGCCATCAGATCGATGCCAGGATAGCTCCAGGGTCCTTTTCCATTACTGGCAGCCGCTGCTGCTGCCGCCGCTGCTGCCGCGGCCAGACTGCCCTCTGCAGCTGCGGCGGCGGCGGCCACTGCAGCCGCAGATGCTGTGGCCGATCCACTTGGAGGCCGCTCGTCCCGCTCGCGACTGCCGCACCGCTCCTCGTCCTGCTGGGCCGCCAGGGAAGCAGCGGTTACAGACCGGGTCTGTCGCTCCACCGAGCCTTCGTGGTCGGAGTGCGGCTCCCGCTTGAAGTGGGTGGGGGAATCGGCGCAGTTAAGGCCGCCGGAACCAGTGCCAGAGCCGGCGGTCACATCACAGGAGGAATTGGAGCCCAAGGATTTGTCTGATTTTTCACTGCAACCTCGACTACCGCCATCGTTTTCTAAAGAGAATAATTAAAAAAAATATAAGGGCACTGTGTTACTTAAGAATTTTCTATTATTTTTTTTTTCTAGTTTTCCAAATAAATCTTTAAACTAAGTTCGTGTCCTTGACCCCTTTTGACCTACCTTTCATGGCCTCCACATCGCCGCCATGGCTGCTGCTGTTGCTGTTGTTGTTATTATTATTGTTATTGTTGTTGTTGCTGCACTTGGAGTCGCCACCATTGCCGCCGCAGGCTTCAGACTCACTGCAAGCGGAACCGGAACCGCCGCCCCCACTGCCATTGGCATTGGGACTGCCCTTGGCCGCCCCACTGCCGCCTCCCAACTGCTGTTGGTAGCGAATGCGAATTTTTCGTTCGCGTCGGAAACGTTTTTGGTAGAGTACTGGAAAGAAGAAATTAAATTCAAAATTAATATTATCTCATTATAAATCTAGAGATTAAATTTCAATTCTTATTCCTGAAGAAAAAGGGAATTCTTTCAAAGAAACGTCAGAAGATACGAGTATTTATCAAAATTCTGACCAAAAGGGAAAAGTACAAAAGCAAATACTGAAAACCCACTGGGCTATAGATCGTGAGCCGATCTTGAACTGGTAACTGGTAATTTGATCGATTGAAACGTTTCTGTTCTGGAACTCGAGTCTCCAGATCTGGATCTCTCGGTTTGGGCCTTGTTGTGCCAATTCAAGTGCGCATCCGGCCGTGTGTGTGGGCGCAATTATGTTTATTGATCCTGACTTGCAATCATTCCAGATCGCGAGTCATAGAATCTTGCACTTGAAGAAAATGTTTTAGAAATAAATAAACTATAGAAATACTAATCCAAAAAATATATTCTGAACTTGGGCCACATTTTAAATGTTAAAATAAAAAGCAAACCTATAGCTTTAATGATATATATAGTATCCTCTATAATTTCTAAACCTTATAATTATTATTTTTAGTGTGTTTCTCATTGGCAAAGTCAATGTGCCTGAATGCAATGAAGCGTGGTGACAGCCGTTTTGAGGGTGGAGCCACAAAATCAACCTCAAATCAAATCCAAAAGATACAAAACAAAACTGTGTTGCTGCAGCAAAGAGATTGAATTTCAGCAGAGGATCGGTATACCCAGCTCCTACCCATCCATTCCGATATTCATTCACCCACGCGCGCTCCCATTGCAAATGGCCAATTGTGTTGGCCATGTTCTGGGGAACTCGAACTCGAACTCGAAAACTCGAAACCCGCTTACATGACTGCGATTTTTATCGCCGGCGTTATTATTAGTTGCAATTAGATGTCTATGTGCCTGTGTGGCATTTTGCATAGTTGCATGCAATTTTTTCTTTTGCTGATTTATGTTCTGCTTTATTTTTCCACCATAATTTCCTCAAAAAGGCGAGTGCCAGGGGAGTTATGGCCGGGTCGGTTGGTCAGTCAGTTGGTGGGCAATTATAGTCCGCCCTGGTTCCCTTTGTTTTCGCATTGTAATTCCGCTGATTTTCTTGTTTTTTTTTTGTCCCCCCCCTTTTCTTTTTTTTGTATTTTTTGGGTGGAGCTCAGGTTTCAGTTTTTGGGCCTTAATTTTTCGGCTTGATTCGATGGCGGCATGGAAATTTGAGGGTCTGGCGAGTAGTGGTACCCAGTAGTTGTAAACCTAATGTAGTCTGATTAAATGGCGAGTAGGGTTAACTATAGATACATTTTTAGACAAAATGATCATGCAAGCTCTAGTAATTGGTTTATTACCAAAATTATAACAGATAGCTGTCCTAATTTCTTCTAAATGATTTATGATTGCCTTTAACTCTGGAGTTTTATTAACGCTCCTATTATAGGTTTTATTTTTTTGCTAATTAACTCTTGTATTTCCAAGCTACCTTTTTGGAGATCTTTCAACCCTTAACCCCTGAGGCAACCCCTTCAAGAAGTCATTGGCAAAACAACAACCAATTATAAGATTTCTGTCTTATGAACTCAAATTCCAGATTCCAGACTCCCGACTCCCCCCCTTCCTGCTACTTTCTGCCCAATCATTCGAGTGTAACTAAATAATGAAATGATATTAAATTCATTTGAATTGTGATTTCTGTTGAAAAAGGCCCGTCCAACGGCAGCAGCAGCCGGAGCTGCTCAAAAACCCTTTTTTTTTTGTTTGTTGGTCTTGTCTTCTGGTTCATCCTGAGGAACCTGGCGACGACCACCAAAGCGCCAGAGGAAGTGACGGGCCAGAGGTCTGCTCGGGGGGACATTCGCAGACAGTCGGCATATCAGGTGTCATTGTCATTTGAGTCAGATTGCATTAAGTGCGCCCGATTGGAATCGGAATCGGCATAGTCAGACCTATACAGGCCATTCCAGCGGGGATTTGAATCTGAAGCTGGAGCTGGAACTGAAGTTTTTAACTAAATTGAGGACCTCAATGTGGATCTGGCGCACTGTCAAGGCTGATTTGCTGCGAATGGATCACAGTGAAACAGAGCTACAGTGAACCAGTTGGGGGTTTAACAAAGGTGATTTGGGAAGGAAAGATCGTCTTTTTGTTACTCTTACTTCAAATATTATTGGATAATTTTAGAATACGAATCCTATGACTAGAATATATGATTTCTATATAATTTAATTAGCTTACCTCTCAGTTTTCTTTCATCTACAAGTTGACGCTCTAAAGAGTCCTTGACTTCACGTTCCCGCAGGACATCCATTTTGAGCTCAGCTGGAAAAGAATAAAAGACAAAAAATAAACATTAAATATTTTTGTAAAAATATATTAATAAAAATCATTTAAGATAAAGAAATATAAACAAAAAATATTTAATTTCTTTAAGTTTTATAAATTTAGTAATCATATAGTTACCTTTCTCATAACTAATTTGCCGCTCCTGCTGCCTGGCATTGTCTGCTGCCACCTTGAGCAGGCTCTGGATATTCCGGAGCAGTGTTTCCGTGGAGCTGGCCGGCACAGCGGCATGGGCATCGATACCCAGCGGACCCAAGGCCAGACCGCCGGCCAAGGCTGCTGCCGCTGTGGCATCGTTGGCCGCCATTAGAGCCTCGTTGGGAGTAAGAGCGCCACCGCCACCGGCGCCTGGTGGTCCATTGGCTACCGCCCCGCCACCCACCGCCGCTCCATTGGCCACCGCAGCGGCGGCCGCCAGCTGGGAGTAGTTGAGGGCTCTTTGGTGCTGGAGGGCGGCGGCTGCTGCTGCCGCCTCGGCCGATGAGGCGGGGGAGCCGCGCTGTGGCACGCCCACCCCCAAGTGGGAGAGACCCACGGCGGGGTGGTGGTGATGGGAGGCGGCGGCCGCATGCTGGTGCAGTTGGTGGGCCGCTGCCGCCGCCGCTGCTGCTGCAGCAGCCGCCGAGCCCGTGGACAGATTATCACGTTCCGTGTCACTCAAGTCTGTCAGAGAAGGGAAGAGATACAAAATGCCAAGTGCAGGAGGCAGGAGGCATAATGCAAATGCAAGTGCAGTCAGTAAAGTGTCAAAAATGCGGTTATCGGCTGTGGCTTATCGCTTATCGCCCATCTATGCAAAGTCCACTCACCTTCGTCATCTTTGGCCAGGCAGCGTTCATCGACTTCGGATTGGTTCTCATCGCTCAGGTTCTCCTCCTCCTCCTCGTCGTCCTCGACTCCGATTATGCCGCCACCCACGTGCGCGGACACGCCCCCACCGACACCGCCCCGGCTGCCTTCGTCGAGGCTGCGGGAGCCGCCACGTCCGGGGGATCCTGCCACCGAGTGGCAATCGCTGCGCTCGCTTCCCGCATCGCAGTTGCTGCCACCGTGATCTGTGTTTCCGCCGGACTTGCTCAGGTTCAGCACCGGACTCTGGCGCGTGGGAGAGCCTTTAAGGACACAGAGGAAAAAAGGTAACAGGATATAGTCAGAGTTAGAAGTCAGGATATAGATTTTATCTTTAAAAAATGAAAGTATTAATAAAAAATACTTACAATTTCTGGAGCTGAGATCGCGTGGCTTCTGGTCGCCAACCACCACATTTCCAACCCGATCCACACCCGCTCCGCCCACTCCCATCGCCTGCTGGCGCTCGTCGGTCCGCTCCTCCCTCAAACGCTCCAAGTGCTTCACAATATCCTCGTAGGCTGCCCGGCAGTTCTCCCAGATTCCGGACCTGGCCAAGGCGTCCATATTGGCCGCCGACATGCCGGCATTCTGGGCAGCCGCCTTCAGCATTTGGCTCTCGGGGCGAGCGTGGAGGCCGTGGGGTGGCATGCCAGGAGACATCAGGGCCGCAGCGCCCGGGTGGTGGGCATTCATCTGCATGAAGGCCATGTGGTTAATGGGCGGCGGATTGTAGCCGTTGGCCAGAAGAGGCGACTTTTCCAAGCGGTTCATATCTGCAAGATTTTCAGATTTCAAGGATTAATATTTTCTGAAACTTAAAGCAAACTCCCCCCCACAAAGTGTGTATCTCTGGCAATGAATCATAAACTTTAATGTTTTCTTTAAAACAACATGTGAGCGCCAATCAATAATTACTGGAGTATCCACCATTCCCTCCAATGGGTGGCTATGTCGCCTGGGTAAATATTTAAATTTTCAAATGCATTCACTAGATGGGTTGGCCCATCCTCGACAATATTTGCCTTTCATTTTGATGGCTCGCTCGACTGACACCTGTTCCTGTGTCTGCTACGAAATATATATATAGATACATACATGCATTTATTTTATACAACATACTATATAGTATGTGTATATAATATGTCGTGTCTATTGTCTGAGCGCCCAGACTAAACACAACACACAACTAAAAGCACCCACGCACATGGTGGCGTATAGATACTTTTGTATCTGACCTGTGTATCTGCGGCTGTCATTTGTTTGCCTTTCGATAGATAGATATATATATATACGAGTGTACAGCTATAGTACATGAATACTATAGCCAGTGAAGCAGTTAGTTGCACATTTTAGTGGCCCATTAAATGCTTTGGCATTCACTAAATTGCATAAATTGTGGAAAAAAAAAATGCAAAATGCAATTAAAACTTGGTGAAAATTCGTTCGCTACGGAATTCAATTTAAACGGTTTACGGTGTTAACAATTTTTAAATATTCCATCAGTCTGTGAGCCTGTGTATTATGTGTATTAATAATGCAATATCACTCAAGAATCAACGCCCCACAATTCACTCAAGGAACCTTTTCTTCACAGCCGCGAATGACTTGGCAAAAGCCATGGCGAGTTTAGTTCTGAAGGCGCCGGCGGCGGCACTCTGGTTCTGAAGAAAAAGAATCTTAGAGATTTCTTTCGATTTGGGCTTTTGTTGTTGGTCGAGAGTATCTTTCAATATTGTACGTTTCCCCGGACACATTAATAGAAAGAGGCGTTGACCAACTTGTCAGCTTGGCTCTCTCTCTATCACTATTTCTAGCCATATACCCATTGGAATATGTAAAATGGAAAAAAAAAAAAATCAATTAAATACAAGTCCGCTTGTACTTATCATAATTACAGATACGGATACAACACGGCACAGATACAATTCGAAATTTTGTTAGCTGAATGCGATTTCCTGTACAAATCACATGGCCTGGCCTGATCGGCCCAGTCGGCAATGGAATTCGGAGTTGATTGCGGCTTTGGCTTTGACTGCCATTTATCTGTTGGCTTGGGAACGTAGCCAAAGTACAATGTATCTGTATCTGTATCTGCAGCTGTAGCTGTATCTTTGACTGTGTTTGGCAGCTGTAAGCTGTAATCAGCCAACAAGCAGCGACCACAAATCACAAATGGCGGTAACAGACGATCATCGATCGATTTGGGGATCCGACACACAAAAACCGCTTCTCAAAAATGAAAAAATCCCCGAAAGCAATCGAAGGCAAGTTTTGTGGCCAATCTTTCAATGATTTCATTACAATTCGAATGCGAATTCGTGGCCCCTCCAGTCATGGCACTCAATTGTGTGAGAATTGCAACTTGCAACAGCAAGTGAGGAGTTTAAATACACCGAAAAAAAACTCTTACTATTAAAAAAAATATATATTTTTGTACTTACCACTTATATGCCCATTTTCGTAGGCGTAATCCCCATTGTCCAGGCGGTGTTTCTTCAGCTGGGGATGCTGCGAAAGGTGGGTGGGCGGCAGGGATAGCCCCACGGGTCCCCTTTTGGGCGGTCTACCCGGTCTGGAACTGCGGAATTGCAGAGAGTTACTGTTGGGTTGAGAGCAATGGATAGCATCCATGGTATCAGTACAAAAAAAAGATCAATGCCTCAGTAGACTAGATGATCTAGACTACTGGAACATTTTTTTTGCAATATATTTTTCGCTTTGGTTATGAAAGGGGTTTTGTCAATGATTTCTTGAGGGGCTTGAGAGTTTTTAGATTGGAGTTTTTTGGAGTGGTTATAGAACTGAAGAATATGTTTTACACCCTTGGCTTATCTTTCCTTTCAATTTATTAGCTTTTCAAGTGATTTACACAAGCCAGTCGTTGCAGAATAATAATAAAAAAAGTAAAATTCCATGTAAATTCAAAAGTTTTATTTTCTTCCGCAAAATAAAAGCCCCTTATTGCCTTAAAATGTCTATTATTTTTTGATGGCCTGTCTCTCGTCATAAAGTTATCCATCATGGCTTAACTATTCCGGAGAATCTTGCTGTTTAATAATTTCCTCGCACCGAAAATTCCTTATTTTTAAAGCCGGTCCTGCCTCTCCCCCACAAGTTGCATTCCCCCTAATTAAGCTCCAGCCAGCTTTAGTGAGCACCCCCCGTTGGGTCGAGACAAATAAAATAAAAAAAAACGGCCAAAACCAAGAATAACGCAAACGTGCTACCATTTTAATTATGAGCCATAAAAAAAAATAAAAGAAGTTAGCGAGAAAGAAAAGAGTTCAACTATTTTGAGTAGTAACTTATGCCCGCAATTGCTGCTATTTGTATATAAAATATTTAAACAAGTCTTGAGCAAATACTTGACGCAGGCGCAGGTTTAAGCTAAATAGTTGACGCAGCGGGTGGAAATTATGACAAACAAGCCCCCAGAGATAAAGCCCCCATAGAGAACACCATAGAGATCCGAAACTGCAGCACAAATACTACAACTTGAGGGGGAAACTGTAAAAATAATAAAAAAAAATAAAAACCTGATCAAATAGAGCGACTTGGGCCCAGCTGTCTGGACCCCCATTCCAGATGGCTTTGCGGGCAATTAAATTATGGCATCTTCATTCCATGTTTGTCGATGGCAAACAGGTGTGGGCCTCTTAGAAGACAAAAGACAAATAAACACAGGTAGCAATGATCGTATGCCCCATGGGGATGGTAGTACGCGATTACCAGAGTATATACATGGCGAAACATTGAACAATTTGTAATTGTGCGTACTTTGGATAACAAAGATCCAGAAAGTCAAATATTAGCAGTTACATATTGCCCCAGTAAATATTTGTGACTGGATTTTAATTGTGGCTCTTGTGGGGCTCCAACAAACAAGTCAGGGAGTTGTTTTCTTGGCCCCTTTGGGTCACATAAAGAGATTCTTCAACATGATTCATTCCGAGAATGGAAAGTGTTTGGCTTTTTCGGATCTAATCGGGAAGGCCATTCGCCTGCTTATGACGTGCAAAAAAAAAAATACTTTAAAAATATTTAAAAAAAAAATTGGAACCCGTGCGTCTGTCAGTCAAGTTGAATGAATTTATGGGAAGTGGGTTGTGGAGGTTGGGCGGGCAACACTTTCATTGGAAAGTTTTCGTCGCTGCTGCTACTCTGACATGTTTGTCTTGGCCAGAAAAACTTTGTTTCCCTGGAATATATTTTTTCGCATAGGTTCCGGATAAGATTGAACAATTAAGCTGAAACCTGACGTAAAAGTCACCATGATGATGCAATGCAAGAGTGACCCCATTTCAAGGGAAACTGGAGAGGTTCTATCTTTTGTGGTAGATATGAACCTCTAAAAATATCTCCCTAAAACTAGACTGTCTATAATAAACCATAAACTAAAACAATTAAAATCTTTCAAGCCTGTCCACTGCCTTTTTGGTTAATTTATGCACCGCTGTCATTCGCCGCAAATGTCATTTTGCATTTTTGCGAGCAGCGGACAAACGTTTAGTCAGGAATAAACAACAATTTGTCAAAATAGTCGCTTTGTCCAAATGCCTGACAAAACAACCAGCAACAACAACAATAACAACAAAACATTAAAACCACCAATTCGCGAGGAGAGGAACCGGTTGCACCACACCACTGGCCTGAACCTGTTTGCAGCTGTCTCGTTCGTATATTTTTCAATAATCAAGGGATAGCTGAGTTGTTAATTATTGAGTTTGGTGTTTGCCGCGTTCGGGACTCTTGAGAAACAGCCGCCAAAATATGCGCCAAACTGTGCTAAATGTGCCACACAGTTATCCCCCTCCACACTCCCGTTCTTGTGGATAGTTTCAATTGCAATTGCACATCGTCGATGGGAGGCGTTACTGACATTTGTCAGCGAAATCGGCAAAAACTCCCTATAACCCACTGCCGCCGGGTTTGGACTGTAAATTGGCAAATCAATTATGTTTATGGCCAAGTTGCCACCTTGCCACAGAGCGTGTTTGCTGGCCACTAAATCAATGCAATCCCAGCAACCGACAATTAAATGTTGGCACCCAACAGCACCCAGTACGATTTCCATATTTGCAATCAGAGTCAGAGTGAGAATTTTAATTGAATTCATAGCCTCAAATGGATACGCGCCCCACTGCCATTTGTCTCAAAGGTATCGGGCCAACATATCGGGCCAAGTTTCCCAGAAAGAAGCCGCTGAATAAGGCTCTTTTCTTGACTGTTGGCGCTTGAAGTTGTCTCGAATTTCTTTCGTTTTAACAATAAATGTTATTGGAATTTGCATTAAGCCAAACGAGACAACATAGCCATTCGACCACTGCCTTGGTAAGAACTTTCGTATTCATTGTTAAATGACATGCAAATGTACGAATGACATGGCAGTCGAAGGGGACTCTTAAAGGTCTCATCCGAGGGGCATACCTTCATGCTAATTGGGGGCTTTGAGTTCCATGAATTGTCGGGACTGAGCTTCTAACTTGTAAGTCTCCCTACTACACTTTTAATTCGCACATCATTTGAATATATTCTCACCCAAAATATTGGTAAGCAAAGCCTAAACCTAACCAAGTCAAATATTCAAATTAAAATCACATGCTAATTTTGAATTTTGGGTGGCCTTCTTTGTTAGCCTTATAATTTCCTAGAGCAAGTTCCCCCCGACCACTACTTGCATTTAATATACAATGCATATTTCTTGGCAATTGTTTTGCATACTTTGTTTTTTCCACTACTCACTTCAATTTCAATTGGCGTGCTAATAACTCATTTAGTTCGCAACAAAAACTGGGCAAAAACCAGCGGTGAAACACACAGAAAATAAAGTAACAAAAAAATAGTTACAAACATGCCACACCAACAATGGCTCTACCGACTTTGACTATCCAAGATATTCCCCTTCGCCTGGATGGAATATACATAAAGGTATATCTCATGATGCTGAGAGAATATAAACATATGTATATGAATGCTGGGTGCAGTTTTGTTTTAGGCTCTATAATTATTATAAAAAAAAAAAAAAATTAAATTGAACTATTGTTGCTTCATTTAGATTGAACAGAAAACAGTAGCAATGGAGACTGCCTGCCACAATGTTGCTTTTGTTATTCGGTTACACTCAATTAAGCTGAATTTGCAAAATGCAAATGCCCCAAATGAGACTCACACCTCGAATATCATACTCGAATTATTTTTAGAAATTTTAATATAATTATATTTGAGTTGTTTTTTTTTTGTGCAACACTTTTTCCGCCTCTCGTTTTAACAGCCCGAGGAGGTTCGAACCTGAGTTGATCTCTTGATTGTCAGTCAGTCATTCGTGATTAGACATTCGACAGTTGTTGCCATTGTTGTTGTCATAAATAATAACCAGTCTCTATATAACAAAGCTTGCATATAAAATTCGTATAATAAATCAATGTGCTGTCGTAATTTGTGTTAAGTTATTTGTAATCAATTTCAATTCCCTGCATAGCTATTCGAGAGAGATTTATGGGAAACTTTTAATTTTTCTATCATTTTGTTTAATTCAAAAGCTGGGCTTACCTAAAATATTTTATAAAAAAAACTAACCTAATTGCGATGTTTTGGCACTATTTTAAATTCCCTGGAAACATGACTATTCCTCACTAATAACTTCCCTTTAAAAAATAAAAGAAATCTTTTCCTTTTAAGCAAAAAAAATCCCCAAATCTACACCACTTTCCCACAAACCCTCCCACTCGTTGAACTCTCTTCCGGACCGCATTCTCCACTTGAACAAATTTAACAACAAATTAAACTCAAATGAAGTCAAATCAATCGATGGCCTTTTTTTCGAACATTTTCCACTTGGCCCGAGTAATTTGCATAGTTGTGGTCCGTTCGAATTGGTTAGACGTCGGAGTATGGCTTTAGTCCAATTTAGTGGAAAGGTGTGCCCACCAGCTCAGTCACAACACACGTTGTGGTGGCTCCATGGAGTTGCTTTTTTGCCTTTCTGGCTTTCTGATCGATGCCGCAGCTTGCACGGCTTAAACGCCGTTTTAGCCAAGTTTAGCCAAGAAAAAAAAAATAAATAAAAAAAGCCAAGATGGAGGGCGAAGAGGTGCAGTTCGAACTGTCAACTACGATCAAAATCAATTGTTTGCCATTTGCCGAACCACTGCAACTCACACAAATGCTGACAAAATTATTTTTATGGCCGCCACACATATACAACATCCATGGAAATGTCAGTGTCAATAATTTTTGTGAATATGAGCACATAGAAGAAAAAAAATAATAACAATATATATCTAAAAATGATCATTGGGTTGGCTGCCATATGAGAAGCCCCCAATAAAGGCAAACAAATATAATAAAAAATTATTGCAACGTAAGTTTTGAATACAATTGGAAGGGCTCAAGAGTGTTTAGAGTGAAAAAACTATAAATTGGTGTGAATTTTTGTTCAGAAATCCGACTTAATACCTGTTCCCAACTAATCGAACCCTCACTTTTTCATGCTCTATTTATCCTTCCGGGCTTATCCTTTTCACTTCCGGCACCCTGGAGACTCGCCCAATTTCCGTTTCGAGTTTAATTAATTTAATAAACAAATTCTTTTCGCTCTAAAAACTCTCAAGTGTACAAAAAATACTGATGTCGATCGATTTGAAAAGTTATTTTGTTACCTTTTTAAAAAAAAAACAACGATAACCAAAAAATTTATAAACAAAAAATTTATGGGGGGGATTGGAGCGAAATTATTGCCATAGTTTTTTTATTATACTTGTGTGTTTACCTCTCTGGTGGCTTGATCGATAGGCATCTGCAATTAAAAAGAGAAAAGAAGAGACAAGTGAGGCAAATTGTTAAACTTTGTGTGTAAGCTTTTTAATACAGTGAGAGAAAAAAAAATGAAAGACAGGAAACCAAAAATTCAGGGGCATTTCGATGGGTGCAAGCGGGTGTGAAAATGCACACGCCCCCCCAGCCATCGACCCGACCCCCACCGAAAAATGTTTGCAATTATTCAAAAAAGACAGAGCCTTTAGCGGTTTTACATTTTCCCTTTTTTTTTTTATTCAGAGCGGTCTTCCTTAGCAAAAGTTTTTCAACCTAATAATAGGTTTAACCGCATGAGTCCGGTTGGGTTCCTTTTTTTTGCCAGGAATGAGAATGATAGTGGTTTTGGGTCTGTTACTGTTTCTGGTTCTGGTTCTCCACCAAAAAAAATATTTAATTCCCCGGCCAAAGCGCATGTGCACTTTATGGAGCACACTCCGTACATGTGCTGGGCCCGTTTTCATAATTAACTAGATGGTTTTCCATCGAGTGCATTGTGGCCAGTGGCCAGTGCCCAGTGGCTGGTGGTCTGCTCAACCCGTTTCTGCCGTTCGACAACTGTAAACAAAAGGCCAGGACTCTCCAAAAAAATAAGGGATATTGGAATACAAGGTTATAATCTTTATTTGGGCGATGATGTCTCAATGTCGGGCCTAGCACTTTATATAGCTTTTAGTCAGGACATGTTTAAATATCCATAAAATATTAAATTTCAGAGAGACAACTTTAGATTGGTTATAATTCCTATCTTTAATACTAGTTTAATAGTATATTTCTTTCAGCTTTTGAACTTTAAAGCTTTTTAGCCAGGAGGGCAATTATAAAAAAAAAAGAACTAAACTAAACCTATTTCTAGGCAATTTTTTGCTTGTCGTTTTTTCCACTCGAGCGGAAATGCGCTGACAGGGCACCGCACACGTCGATTGCGAAAAATACAACCCGTACTACCAACAGAAACATAAACTACAGGATACAGGAACTGGAGGAAAAGTTCTACAAGGTGGAAAACTGTTTCACCAACTATTGTTAGAGGCCCTCAAAAGAATTACGCAGCTTTTGGATAGTTAGCATGGGGGCCAGAAACACTTCGGCCCCCTTTTTTTTGTATTGAAAGGGTGGTGGAGTTACGTTACGTTACGTTTGCATTGCGTATTTCCGCCAAATGTCATCGGAAAAATAGGGAAAAAGGTGAAATGCGAGACGAAAGTTTTTTGATTGCTCGTTTTAATCGATATCGATGCACAAACTATTTGCATTGGGCTTTGGCAATCAAAAAATGGCAATGGTGGGAGGTGTGGATAGTAGTGGGACCTGGGTTGAGTGCGTAAGTTGGTTAAAGCGGAAACAGGAAATGAGAAAATTTTTCAGAGCAAACCCCTAGCTGAAAATGTAACTAACTGGGCAAATGCACTCAACGAAATCGAGAGCGAGGAGAACTTTAAAAGGGGGTGGTGCTTTGGACAGGGACAAGAAATATCCTTTCTAAATAGAATTATTTTGGTTATACGGAGTTACTAGTATAATGGGACTATTATTCTGAAGATAGGGTTCAAAAGCTTTAAAGAATTATTTTTTTCAAGGTTTTAAATTTTGTTCGTAGACGGCTTGAAACCCCTACTTCTGATCCTAGAGATTCTGGAGATTCATCTACAAAACATTCTCTACCAATTATTATTCATACCCTTTTCTTTAAATTTCTAAATTTCCAAACAAAACTAAAATAAAACATTTTTTAAATGTCCAAATATTAAAAAAAAAACAAATTGTATTTTCCTAGTCCCCCTTTTTAAAAAACAAAGATTTTAAAATAAAATAAATTCCCTGCATTTATTTCTAAGATGCGTACCTGGCTGTGGTGCAGTCCCTGTAAAGGACATCAAAGTCCTTGCAGCTCAGCAGCTTACAGCGATTCACGCCCGGCTGTATGGCGCCCAGACCTCGCAGGATCCGCACCTGCTCCACATTGCAGACCAGCGGCACAATGTCCAGTCGCTTCAGCTTGGTATAGACGGTGTGGAGACCACCGACCAGATGCTTCAGGAAGAGCTCGAAGGCCTGTGGCAGGCAGAGCATTGTCTCGTTGCTGATTATGAAGGCGGCGACCTTCTGACCCCGGTACTCCACCAGTTTGCACTCGTTGGCACTGGGATCGGAGGTGGAGATCGGTGGCGGTGAGTTGTACGACCTTGGCGGGACATGGTGATGGGCGGCGGCCATCAGTTCCAGCGGGGAGGCGTGGTGCATCATCTGCAGCGAGTTAAGCAGTCCCAGCGAGTGGGGCGGCAGGCCGTGTGGCATCCGTGGCGGCAGACCGGCGGGCAGTCCATTCCCAGAGGTCAGGCCGTGCGGGGGCGGACTCAGTTGGTGGTGCTGCTGCTGAGCCTGCTGCTGGGCCTGTTGCTGTTGTTGCTGCATCTGCTGCATCATGGAGTGGTTCAGGGAGCTGACAGGACTGACGGCGCTCGGATGGCGGCTGGGTGAGCTGGCCGGCGAGCAGCTGGACCGCCGGCCGTTGGGGCGATCGTCGTTGGCCCCCCGCGAACTGTTGCTGCCGTCCCGGCCGTTCTGCTGCTGTTGTGCGGCTGCGGCGGCTGCTGCTGCGGCGGCGGCCTGCTGCTGCTGCTGTTGGTGGTGCATCAACATGGCGGTGGTGTTCATGTTCCTAACTCGAAGTCACTATCTCTGATATTGCCGATATTGTTATTAATTTCCCGACTTCTACTGTTGTTGTTTTTGTTGGTTTTTTTCACTCGTCACACAATAGTCCATACTTCATCATGGCTGACACTTTTGTTTATTTATTCTTGTTGTTGTTGTTGTTTCACCGATTTGTTAATTGCTCATTAATTTGTATATATTTATTGATTCTTTTTTTAAATTTAGTTTTCTGTGTAAATAATAAACGCACACAAGTTAGAGAGAGCGAGAAAAAATATAAAGGAGGCGGAGGCACCGATAAATAATTAATGAACTTTTAATTCATTTTTAATTATTTATTAGTATGGTTTCTATGCAAATTCTAATTTAGCTCCGAGTTCGTCCATTCACATCCGTGATTGGATGTTGGATGTAAAATGAAGCCATATTGGTTTTAAAAAAAGTTACTATTTTTTCATTTGTTTTATTCTTAAAAAAAAGGCTTAAAAAAGTGCTGACAATAGTTTAATATATTTTAAATGATTCAGTTTCAACATTTTTAAACTGTTCTTTGAAAATTAGGTTAGTTTTCTGAGCCGAAAATACTTCAAAAATGAATATTTTTCAAATTCCAAACTCTAATATTTACATTTTATTTTAAATCAAGATCCTATCACTTCTAGATCCCTAGTACTAGCATTTTTTAATAAAAAAAACCATAAATTTACCTTTTTTTTTTTAAATAGGATTAAATAATTTTGGAAAATTAAAAAATCACAGACACCAACACTCGCGCACTTTGTTTATGTAAGATTTTGGATAACAATTTCAACTTTGGCCATGGCGTTTATAAAATAATTAATAAATTATTTTCAAAGATTATACGCGAATTGTAACCGAAACGAATAATTGGTTGTATTTGTTTGTTTTTTTTTGGATTTCAGATTCGAATCCGTTGGATTCCGAGATACGAGCTGCGAGTTGCGAGTTCGAGTACCGTTCCGACGGATTGTCACTGAGAGATTGCGATTCTGGTGGCGAGACGAGCTACCAGCGGATTCTCGGCCAACTGCGGATGCCGGCGTCGCTGCGTCGGCTTTGCTTCTCTTCTCCCTCTCCTTATACGGCCGCTGCTGCTGCTGTTGCTGCTGGTGGTGCTGGTGGTGCTGCTGCTGCCCCTTCTTTGCCCCCGCGAATCCGAGAAATCAACGAAACGAATTGCATTCGAAAATGGGAATCGACTGAGAGCGGGACGGAGCGAACGAGTGGGCGTGAGCGTGAGCCAGGGCCCGATGTTCAAGTGTTATTTTTTTAACCCACCCACACATACATACATACATACATATGTAGATGTTTCGGGGGAGCCGTTTACCGTTATGTACTGAAAACGAAGCGAAATGCGCGCGCAAAAGTTTTATTGCATTACCTTCTACCTTCGCTTACAAATGACAAATTCGTAATGAAAGGCGAGCCAAATGTGTTTCGTTTCGTGTGGCGCTGACGCCGGCAACGGCACCGGCGCCAGCAGCGACGCCAGCAGAGCCAAAAGAGTATCTGTGTGTGTGTATATGTGTATCTGTATCTGCGATTGTGCAAAACCAGAAAACGAATACGAATACGAGATACGAATGTTTGGTTGCACGTCTCGAATTACGACTACACACACACACACACATACCAATACCAACAGCAAAAAAGGGGAGTGGTATACAATTGATCTGAGTGTGTGTTTGTGTGCAACCCCGAAAAATACAATGACAAATGTAATAAAAAGACAAACACACAAATGAAACACACAAATGTCCACACAAACACACACACACACTCATACACATACAAACGAAACAAATGAAATGAAACATGCGCTCCCATACAGCCAATACAGACCAAGCACCAAGGACCCTTCTCGCTCGTCCTTCAGCTCCACCTCGCTCACACACTTAATTCAACATTTTCATTTTATTTTATTTATTTTTTTAATTCGTTTGTGCGAGTTCTCCAAATCCAGCAGCTATCCCCCACCAGGCTATCCCCCTTCCATATTCTCGCTTCCATTTCATTTCGTTTGCGTTTCAATTCCCATTTCGTTTCAACTGCTGCCAAAACATTGTGCCTCTCGCTCTGGCAGCCACTTCTTAGCCCAGGTGAGCTGCAACCAATAAACATGAGCAGCATATTTGCATAGTGTTTGTGAGACTGGTGAGAGTATATTGCATATGTGTGTGTGTGTGGTGAGAGGCTCCCTCCGTGTGAGACGGTGGGCTCTCCAATGGCCGTCGCCTTATATAAACAAATGACAATTGTTTTGGCATTTTCTGTTGGGGTTTCCAACCCAAAGTAAATTAAAATAAATGCATTGCATTTGCTTGAAAGTAAAAAAAACAAAAACAAAGAAAACAGGATGCTTCGAGTTTGCGCAGCTGCTTTTGAATTTCTTTTCTTTTTCTTTTGTTTTTACTTTTTCTTTTTATTTGTGTTTGTTTTTTTTTTTTGGGAGGGGAGTCTTGCTTTTGGGGACAATTTCTTATTGGAAAAGCATTTTAATTTCAATTAAAAAAGTATATGACAAACTTTGTCTGACAGCACCACCCCCTCCCTCCCTTCCAGGATTATTCCGCAACAGGATGCTTGGAGTTTGCGCAAGATTTTTTATGCCATTTGTGGGTTTGTCAACTGCTTTCCGTTTCTCATTCGTTTCATCGTTTATTTGTATTTCTTTGCAGGATATTTCTGCTTCTTTTTTTTTCGCTTTTCTCCTGCCGATTCAGAGGAGAGCAGACATACTCATAGTATGCTTTGCTACTTGCACTGCCATGATTTCGGTTGGCGTGCTTTTTTTTTCTACCCGGGGGGCGTTCGTTTTCGCTTTTTCGGATCGGATCCGGATGCTTATAAATAGCACTGCTTATAAATGCTCGTCTCGCACCTTTGCCACCTTGGTCCTTTCTCTCCCATGTGTGTGTGTGTGTGTGTGTGTGATTTCCGCTAATGCAATGATGGGTGGGTGTGTTCGGTTCGTTTCGTTCTGTCGTTCATTTCTCATTTTTCTATTATTTGTCTTCGTTTTTCCTTCTGCGTTTCTTTTGACGATTCCGAACCAATCGCATTTCGTTCTGTTCTCTCCAATTGTTTCGAGAGAGTGTTTCTATATATATTATATATACGGATATCTGTCTATATAGAATTCATTCTTATGTATTGTCTTTGCACATGACGTATGGATTTTTTTTTGTCTTCGTTTCGTTTCAGTTTTGGGGTTTTTCTTATTGTCGATTTCCCTGCTGCCATATCTTGGGGCTTGGGGTCGTTGAGTAATATTGATGACAGCTAGAATTTGATAATAAATTGAATCGAAATACAAAGTTCCATTGAGAAGTTCTCTTGGAAAATCAGCTCGATATATGTATGTAGTTGAAAAATAGTACAATTTTAATTTGGCAATCAAAATTTATTTTTCACTAAATATTTAATTTTGAAAACAATTAATAAAAATATAGTTTCAAGCTCCCTTTACTTTCAGCAAAGGCTATAAAGTGATTTTATTTTAATATTTTTATCCTAATTCATTTTTTAATTAGGATTTGTTTAAAGATATTTAAAAATAAAATTGATGTTATTGACAAGCAAAACATTAAATTACCCGCCAAAATAAGTCTCCTGCTGCAATATCAAGCAGAGCTTGTCAGTGAACGCCAGTTTCGTGCTGCCAACTCTACTAACCTTTTTCTTACGTTTTACAGTACTAGTCGTTCCTAAGCCCAAAGTTTTTAATTTTTAAAATTTAATATTTTAATTATTTTACTCTTTGTTTTATATGTATTTTGTATAAATTTGTATATATGTAACCGTAATTTAATGTTTAGAGTATAGAGTAGTAGCCTTATTTAATATTATTTTTGTATGTTTCAGATTGAAATATATTAAATTAAACGATATGTGAGCGAACGACCTTGAAAGAATGAGTACTTAAACAAAATCGGAAACCAAACAGTAATATAAATAGTTTATGATAAAAAAAAGACCAATGGACTATACTAAACAAAAGAGTATGTAAATAGTGAACTTTTAGGTGAGCTCTGAATGTAAATTACAATTCAATCGAACTATTTATTAGCGACACCTTTTGGTTGGCCGTGCGTTAGTCTGTCTCCGAAAAGACCCGCGAAATGATCACCCCGATTGATCCACACACCCATCCACTTTGGGCCACTCCATGGCCCTCTTTGATTATAATGGTCGCCTATTTGGCAATCGTTCTGAAATTGGGCCCCAGTTTTATGAAAAATCGAAGGCCCTACGATCTGCGCGGCATTATCAAGGTTTACAACATTATTCAAATTATCTACAATTTCGCGATCCTATATTTTGTGAGTACCAAGGACTAATTGTGTAAAAACCATCCTGTATAAAAAAAACCGAGTCGTTTCCTGATTTCATTTATTTATTTGTAGGCCATGTACTTCCTTTTCTTCTTGGATACCTATGATATGAGTTGCGTGACAGCCCTACCCATGGATCATCCGCACAAGGACTACGAACGTTTTGTATGCAATATTTATGGATTCAACAAAATTATGGATCTAACTGAAACCATATTCTTCGTTTTGCGAAAGAAGGATAAGCAGATAACCTTCCTGCACCTGTTCCACCATATTTATATGGCCAGTATTGGCTACTTTTTGCTTACATATCACGGATACGGTGGACTTGTGTTCCCTGCCTGCACTTTAAACACCTTTGTCCACGCTATGATGTACATCTACTACTACCTGTCGTCGGTGAATCCGTCAGTCCAAAAAAGCATCTGGTGGAAGAAATATATAACTCTTATCCAACTGGTCCAGTTCATTACGGTGGAGGTTCTCATTATCAAAACCTTGCTCCATCCGAACTGCAATTACTCAAAATTTATGATGTGGTTATGCTTGATCGTAAATCCCATTTTCATTGGATTGTTTAGCCACTTTTACATAAAGAACTACATCCTTTCGCCCAAGAAGAGTTCAAAGCCACCTCAGGATTCTTCGGACTCAAAAGCTCAAGAAAAAGTCAATTAAACGAATTTATAGAAACAATTTGGAAAGAAACAATATTCAAAATAAAATTATGATCGCTTTTTTGTTTTAAAAACATTTACATTTTTGTTTTAAAAACAGAAGATGCCAGATAATGTTGGCGAAAACCAGTGCTGTGGGGAGAAGTTTGGGACTCTTTACAATTTTCCAATCCGTCCGAAGTTAGCTTTCTTTTTTTGTTATTTAAAATATTAACTAGTTGATTATCACTATCATCTGTATTCCATACTGATACGGATGCTCTTTCTTTCACTATTTCTCTCTATTCAAAATACAATTCAAATACAAATAAAATTTCCATTGGAAAGTTCTCTTGGAAAATCAGCTCAATTTGGTTGAAAAATAGTGAAATTTTTATGAAAAGAAATAATTTTAAATGAATAATTTAATCCTAATTCATTTTTTAATTAGGATATGTTTGAAGATATTTAAAAATAAAATCTTTTATTGACAAACAAACAAAACATTAAATTACCCGCCAAAATTAGTCTCCTGCTGCGATATCAAGCAGAGCTTTTCAGTCAACGCCAGTTTCGTGTTTGCCAACCCTACTAATCTTTTTCTTACGTTTTACAGTACTAGTCTTTACTAAGCCGAAAATTTTTAATATTTAACAACATTTTATATTTTAATTATTTTAGTCTTTGTTTTATATTTATTTTATATAAATTAGTATATATGTAACCGTAATGTAATGTTTAGAGTATAGAGTAGTAACCTTATCTAATATTATTTTGGTATGTTTCAGATTGAAATATATTAAATTAAACGATATGTGCGCGAACGACCATGAAAGAATGAGTATTTAAACAAAATCGGAAACCAAACAGGAATATTAATAGTTTATGATAAAAAAAAGACCAATGGACTATACTAAACAAAAGAGTATGTAAATAAATAAAATATACTATACTAAACAAAAGAGTATGTAAATAATGAACTTTTAGGTGAGCTATTTAAATTATAATTCAATCGAATCATTTATTAGCGACACCTTTTTGTTGGCCGTGCGTTAGTCTGTCTCCGAAAATACCCCCGAAATGATCGGCCTGGTTGATCCACACATCCATCCAATTTGGGCCACTCCATGGCCCACTGCGACAATACTAGTGGCATATTTTGCATTCGTTCTAAAATTGGGTCCCGATTTTATGAAGAATCGAAAGCCCTACGATCTGCGCGGCATTATCAAGGCTTACAACATCATTCAGATTATTTACAATGCCGTGAGCCTTTATCTTGTGAGTAGCAAGGACAACTATCCTGTATGAAATCGGAATGAAGTCCTTACGCCAATCATTTATTTGTAGGCAACGCGGTTCCTTTTCTTTTGGGATACCTACGATTTGAGTTGCGTGACAACCTTGCCCATGGATCATCCGCACAAGGACTACGAACGCTTTATATGCAATATTTATGGATTCAACAAATTCATGGACCTAACTGAAACCATATTCTTTGTTTTGCGAAAGAAGGATAAACAGATAACTTTCCTGCATCTGTTCCACCACAGTTTTATGGCCAGTATTGGCTATTTTTTGCTTACATATCACGGATACGGTGGACTTCTGTTTCCCGCCTGCACTTTAAACGCATTTGTCCACGTCATGATGTACATCTACTATTACTTATCGTCGGTGAACCCATCGGTCCAAAGAAGCATCTGGTGGAAGAAATATATAACTCTCAGCCAACTGGTCCAGTTCGTTACGGTGGAGGTTCTCGTTATCAAAACCTTGCTCCATCCGAACTGCAATTACTCCAAACTAATGATGTGGGTATGCTTGATCGTAAATCCCATTTTCATTGGATTGTTTAGCCACTTTTACATAAAGAACTATGTCCTTTCGCCCAAGAAGAGTTCTAAGCCACCTCAGGATTCGTCGGATTCAAAAGCTCAAGAGAAAGTCAATTAAACGAATTCATAGAACAATTTGGAAAAAAGAAAATTCAAAATAAAACATAACATTCGTAACAGAATATTTTTTTTTTGGAACGAAGTTTCTTATGGCGCGGTATAAGTTTGGCGGAGGGGCTAGCCGAGAAAAACCGTAACGTAACGTTAAACGGCTATCTGTCTGCTTCTTCTTCGTAGAGTGAGAGAATATAACCATTTTTCCACTCTCTCGCTCTCCACAGGCGAGCGCTTCTCCACTGCTCACGCTTATGAAAAGAAGGTTCTCGACTTCTTCGGAGATATAGTACTACAAATTTGTATGAAATTCCCCTAATTTTGGCCGGTGACTTTAACATCAACTTTTCTGATAAAAAATCAGAGCCACTGACACAATTTCTCCTTGAAGAATTTGATTTAAAAATTGATAACGACCCAACAATGTCTACAACAATATTCAATACGACTATTGATGCAGTTTTTTTCGAGATACTGGAATCTCAAATTTTTGTATCTTACTTTAGTTATCATAAGCCAATTATCACTATATTTAAATCCACAGATTAGATTTATATACCTAGAATAAATAAGTAATAAATAAAAATCATTTTTGTATAAAGTTGTAAATTGTTGTTGTAATACATTTTTCGCCTTCATTCACTCCTGTCTGTCCTTCATTGCCAAACATGCCAAAGAAACTTCGTTCCTCACGCGTGTCCTTAGACACACACTGATTTTTATTTAAAAGGAAGGCAAATTATTTAGCATCGTTTTTTTTAAAGACATTTCCGTATTATATTTTTAAAAAAGATTTGGCGGGAACCAGTGCTGCACATTTACGATATTGTACTTTTTCCGCCTTTTAGTGTGGCCAGACCTTTTATTATTTTTCTTAAGTTTTACAGTACTAGGCGTTACCAAACGTTAATATTTTTTAAATATAATTTACATATTATATTCTATATACCAATGTAATTTGTATTAAGTTTCTGTTACATTGGCATATACTATATAGTTAAGTAGAATAATTATAGATTCTAATTCTATATATCTTTTTAATATGTATTGGAGTAAAATATAATGGAATATACATATATTTACACTGACCATTCATAGAATTTTGTCATGTAGAATGACGTAGGGTTTTATGGGAATATGAGAAATCGAAGGTTTCGTTGTCGCAGACAAGCTAATTATTCGCATATTACATTGTCGCGAACGTCCTTCAAAGAAATATTAAATTTGCAAAAGCGGAAAGAAAACAGTAATTTTAATACTACACTAGTATGTAAATAGTGAACTTTTAGGTCACCTGTTTTATTTATGATTCATTCGAAGCATTTATTAGCCACACCTTTTGGCTGGTTGTGCTTTAGTTTGTCTCCGAAAAGACCCGCGAAATGATCACCCCCATCGATCCACACACCCATCCACTTTGGGCCACTCCATGGCCCACTATGATCATAGTGGTCGCCTATTTTGCATTTGTTCTGAAATTGGGTCCCGATTTTATGAAGAATCGAAAGCCCTACGATCTACGCGGCATTATTAAAGCTTACAACATAATTCAGATTATTTACAATGCCTTGAGCCTTTTTTGTGTGAGTAGCAAGGACTAATTGTGAACCAACCATCCTTTATAAAAAAAGACCGAGTCGTTTCCTGATGCCATTTATTTATTTGTAGGCCATGCACTTCCTTTTCTTCTTGGATACCTATGATATGAGTTGCGTGACAGCCTTGCCCATGGATCATCCGCACAAAGACTACGAACGCTTACTATGCAATATTTATGGATTTAACAAGTTCATGGACCTAACTGAAACAATATTCTTCGTTTTGCGAAAGAAGGATAAACAGATAACCTTCCTGCATCTATTCCACCACAGTATAATGGCCAGTATGGGCTACTTCTTGGCTGCATATCATGGATATGGTGGACTTCTTTTTCCCGCCTGCACTTTAAACGCCATTGTCCACGTCATGATGTACTTCTACTACTACCTGTCGTCGGTGAATCCATCGGTGCAAAAAAGTATCTGGTGGAAGAAATACATAACTCTTATCCAACTGGTCCAGTTCGTTACGGTGGAGGTTCTTGTTATCAAAACCTTGCTCCATCCGAACTGCAATTACTCAAAATTTATGATGTGGTTATGCTTTATTGTTAATCCGATATTCATTGGATTGTTTAGTAACTTTTACATAAAGAACTATATCCTTTCGCCCAAGAAGAGTTCTAAGCTAACTCAGGATTCGTCGGATTCAAAATCCCAAGAGAAAGTCAATTAAACGATTTTATAGAACCATTTTAAAAAAGAATGAAAAGTCAAAATAAAACATAACATACCGAAACATTTTGTTTCTTTTAAAGGAAAGCGTTTCATTGTATTCACAAATGATTCTTTTAGACATTTCCGTTCTATATTTTTAAAAGAGTACTGTTGGCGGGAAACAATGTTTGCAATACTGGAATTGAGGGACCAGCTTTTCTTGTCCGTCACAGTGTTGTAAAAAGACAGTCAAGACATAAACCACATGGGTCGATATTTTGTCAACATCGATAGCACAGTGTTTATAATATCGATATATTGATAAAACATACGTTCATCAACACGTTTGGCTATCAACAACACTACAAATCTTTTCCTCGCTTTTTCTCGTCTGTCGGCTGTTCGGCTGCAAAATCAAAATTATTTATTAAATTATCGCAAGCACTGGGGCGCTTGCCGTTTTAACAAACACACTAACCCAAACACCAAGAGGAGCCACAACAGCTAGGTGGACCAACAGCCGCGACGAACCGAGAAGCGAGGGAAATAAAGAAAATAACCCCCTTGAATCGTGAATTCTAACGCGGCGCGTGTGCGGCACATACATACGTAACAAAGTCTATTGACGCAAAGCTAAAATATACAAAAAGAAAAAAAAGAAACGAAAAGCAAAGTAAAGGTGAAAAAACAGTGAAGAGTATAAAACCGCGTGCATCGAATGCCTTCGACGCTACCCGACACCCGCATGGACGAGGATATCATTGAAATTAGCGACAGCGAACGAGAGGATAACTCATCAAACTCCGACATGGATGTGGAGATCACCGGAGTGGATGTGGGCACTGGGGTACAGGTGGTGCCGCCGTCGCAGCAGTCCCCCCAACCTGCTGATATTGACGTCAAGCTGACGGCCGAGGAAATCGTACCCAAGGACGCGGCAACGTAAGTAGACCAGGTTTTATTAAAAAACTGAATATTACACGAACTTGGTACTTAGTACTTGGTGGTCTGGTGATTTTAGCCAAATTTAGTACTCCTACAACTGGGAGATAAGGTTTTTTGCCCAAAAGTGGGCGATAAGGGCAACACAAACACGCTGTTTACAAGTGAGGTCATGAAAATAGTAACAAAATATAAATAATTAAAAATAATAAAACAATCTTGTGGCATCTTATTGAATAATTTTAATAAAATTTAATATCAGTCAGTTATCTCTATTATTTTGCCCTCATCTGTAATTGCTGCACTGCTATTTTATGTAATCTATTACCGTCTGTCCTCCCTTTCCCACCCATTTGACATGGTCATGGGCAGCAGCAGCAGCCGAACGAAAAAAGAAAACGCTGGCAGAGACGCAACTGAGGCGCCAACACCAACGCAGCAGCGCACACACCCAGCTGCAGTTGTTGCCTACATATATCTCTATTATTGTTGTTTTTGTTGTTGCTAGGTGGGCTATGTTGGTGGGTTCTTATTGGAAACTGGTTTTACTTTCAAAGTGTGTGTGCGCGTGTGTGTGGGTCTTTAAACGTTAAATTTTGAAATTCAAGCGTCTTTTATTTCACAAGTATTTTTGCAGATTTGGCCTAAAATTTAGAAAGAATTGAAGAACATTTAAAGAAAAATTAATGAATTATATTTGCAAGCCATATAATGAGTAATTTTTAAGAGAAAATACCTAGTATAGTAATAGTCTGTATATATAATCACAAAAATACTATAATATCTTATATATTATATAGAAAGTGCTATCTTTCACACTTAGAGGCACTTGTTTATTTATATGTACTTATATTCTTTCTCGAAATTTCTCAAATATAATACTCAAAGATACTAGATATATACTAACAATAGTATCTATTAGCTACAGTATACTAATAGTATCTACTAGATAGATACCAACTATACTATCTTTTGAAGGTTACATTCCATTTAAAAAACATCGATTTCTGCCATGTTGCCAACATAAGTCAGTCACCGCCACGCTTCATTAAAGCTTCCCGGTGTTTTCTAAAGAAAATGTGTATTTATTAGAAGGTTATTCCATTGATTTCCTTAACTTTTAAGATAAAATGCATTTTTGGAAATTCCAGTTCATTGTTTTTGTTTTTAATGCAAATGATTCGTTTTCCCCCCACAGGCTTGATTTTATTTTTGTTTATTACGTTGTTTCCGCTAGAATTTGCGTCACTTTGGTTGGCCTCCATGAGTAATGGAAAAATAATAATAATACTGAAATACAACTCAAATAGATAAGAGTTTATTGATTGAAAAAATATGTATTAAATGGCATTGAGTTTCACAGAACTGACCTGATCACCTCTTTTAAGATACAAGTACAGTCATCGCTGAAAAGTATCTGAAAAGACAAAGCCCAATGCAGCCCACACACCATAACACCAAAAGTTGGCCAAAATTAAAACTTAAAGTTAATGAACTCAGAAGCCATACAAAGTGGTCGGCTTTGGACTTGAAGTGAAGCCTTCAGCAATTATATAATATTATATTAGTGACTTTGTTTTGTTCGAATTCCAAGTTGAAAGGTTCAAGGACTTGAGGTCTAGCAATGGAAAAATTTCTCTTGTCTGGCCAACTGACTCATCCTCTTTTTTCAAAAAAAAATATACATATTTTGTTGTTTGTACTTACTTGGAAACTTGATGATGACGCTGGGAAGAGATGAGGGAACCCGTTTTGTTTAAAAATCTCTAGTATGATGAGTCAACCTGGAGCGGGGGAATTAGAAATGTTGACCCTGATAAATGGGGAAGTTTACGAAATTTTAATATAGGGCTTAAAAGCTTCAATATAGGATAACCAAAAAATAGCTTAAAATATAGTTGTTATAATAATTGTTGAACAATACCTCTTTTGACTTATTATTGACCAACTTTATTGGCCTTGGCAAGAGCAATCAACTATTATTGAAGCCATGAGTCAATCAATCAATCAGTTCAATTATTGTTTCTTAGAAACTTTAGAAAAAAAAGAGTTGCTTAAAGCCAGTCTTGCAATTCTTCAGAAATATAACCTCGACTTGGTTGAAGCTTTGTTTTAATTTTTTTGTTAAATAATCTTGAGATTCACAATCTTATTTTGGTATCTTTCATTTTCTTATCACTGTGACTAGTACAACTCTTAAAGTAAAATGATTAACAAAGTAAATATTTATTTAATGATATATATATTTAATTTTTAAATAATTTTTGTATTACATATTTTATTTAATTTAAGAAACTCTTCTAAAAACTTGCTCTTGAAATTTTTAAACTTCCACAGTTTGAGTAGCACTGTGTTCTATTTACTGGCCATCAACAAAGTGGCTCTTCAACTTCGTTTCGACCCAAATTCGCTTGCTTGTTTTTTTTTCTAGTTTGGCTTTAGTTTTTGGCTAAACTTTTGGCCCAATCGACACGAAACTCTCGACCAACTTCAGGCAATTAGCCCCAAACCATATAACTCTCAGGAAGTGGGTCAATTAAATTATTGATTCGAAAGGGTACCCACTAAGCTAAACAATATAGGAATTAAAGCTATAGTTTCTATAGAATATACAGAGTGGCTTAAGCGGATGTTGTGGGTTTTGTGTGGAAGTGGCAGTGCCACTCGTTAGAAGACAATAGGAATAGCTTCCAATTACGTAATTCCAGGTCTTGTGGGGGCTGGCGAACTATATTTCAGGTAATTTTTCAATTAACTTGGAAGACGATATAATGGCTATGAGAATGCCGAAAATAATAAAATGAAATTAGCTTTGAATGGTCAAAAGAGGTTATAAAATAAAACATTTAATTAAATAATATTTTTATATTTTTTTAAAAATATTTTCTATCTATTTTACTGCCAAAATATGAGTAATTTTCGCACACCTCGTAAACTAGCCTCTTTCTTATCTTTCTCAAGCCGGAAATGGCATTTAATGTCACTCGAGCCTCTTCAGTGAAGTCTCTTATCGTAAACACTTCGTTAAATTCACTGGAAAATTGTTCAATTTCCCCCGAGAAAAACCAGATCTTTCATAGATCAAGTTAAAAAGCTTAGCCAGCTGTCATCTGCTAGCCATGAGTGGCTTCTGTCTTGTCTCGGGCCGTCTTCCCTTATCGGTCTGGATCGAATTGTGGAGCCGGAGCCAGTTTAGCCAGTCTGCCGCCTCATGCTGCTACAAAGCTAGTTTTTACACTTTAGTACAGAGAGAGAAATAAGGGAGGTTATAAAAATAAATAAAAAAAATAATAAAAAAAAAAAAAAAAAAAAAAATGAAAAAAATGAATTAAAAAAAAAAATTACAAACAAATTAAACCACAAAAGCATAAAAAACGTGACTATTACAACAACAAAACCAAAAAAGACAACAAAAACAAAAATATTGACAAAAAAAAAATAATTATTTTTGTGATTTTTCTGGCCTGCTTAAGTGCAACCTATGAGAATCGAGGAGGAGGGCGCTGTTTTTTTAATAATTATTTTTAAAATATTTTATTAAATAAATACCAAACTAAAGCATCTTCTAGTATGTTTTTATACCCAAAAAAACGGTAAAATTTTCCTCTTCATTACTGTTTGACTTCCAGATGCCCTTGAAGTAGGCAATAGAAATATGAGTGATTTAAATTTTAAGATTTTCAGTTTTTTCTTTAGAAACTACATATATAAATATTAATTTAATTTAATCCAACATATATACATAGTTTAAACTCTATAGATCGTTAGAAAAATCGTGATAACCTCTGCAAGATTATACAAATTATTTATAATAAATATATTTTTAATATTTCCCCAGTGTATCTATAAGAGAACTTTTTTTGCGGAAAAATGAGAGTGGGAATCGTGCTCCTTTCTCTCTTCGATGGCCCCCGGGCGCTTTTCAAACTGTAGGTGTTGGCAGCTCGTAAATTAGCACTCATTATAGTTTGACATTTATTGGCACTATCTTCCCATGCAATTATGCACTGGTAGCTAGCTACCTGGTTTTACAATCACTGAATTACTCAAGTATCTTCTCTGAAAGTCTTTTTTATTTTGGCCAACTTTGGGAATTTTGTAGCCAATTTCTCTTCAAAATTTGCAAGCTTTTGTTTTATGAGTTTGTTGATTAATTTTCTTTTGTTGTTGGCACTTGTTGCTGTTTGTTGTTGGTGGTTTTAATTGCTTTGTTTGTCTTGTAACTGGGCACTTTCACTTGGGTTTCGTTTCTGTTTTCGTTTTGGTTTTTTTTTTATTGTCTTTTTTTCTGGTTTTCAATTGCAACGGTTTGGAATGGAATGCACTTGTTGCAAATGCACTCGTTGTGGTTGACCCATTTTGGCTTAGAAATTGGATCAATTTTTGTGATAATTTACTGGAGGAGGCTTGTGGTTTTTTGTAAACCATTTCCTTGTTTCTAGAAGCCTTGACTTTTGTGGGGATCTCAACTTTCTTTCAATTTGTTGTCTCTCCATGTTTGGTTTTATTAAAGAAATTAAAAAAAAAAAACGTTAATTAAAATCTGACAGCCAGCAGACGCGGACCATGTCGCAATCGAAACACGCCTTCATATTGTGAGGTTTTTTTTGTGTTTTTTTTAAAGATATGTACATATATACAATCTATAGATTTATTAATGTTTGTATATTTTTTTTTGTGAACAACGGGAAGTAAAATTAAACAGACAAGGAAAAAAAGAAAGACAAGTTCATCAACTTTTCAATGATTTTGAGGAAGAAATTGTATTTTTTCCTTGAAGAAAACTTCCCTTTTAATCAATTTATTTTAACATTTTTATTTTTACATTTTCCTACATTTTTGGGTCAATGTGGCTTCAATTTCCATTTGAATTTTTGTATCTTTTTAACGATCATGTGGCATTAATTAAGCTCAATTCTGCTCAGACAAGCATAATTCCCCATAATTATCATTTGCGAAAATCTCTTTGATGACAATGCTCGCTCGCTCACTCTCTTGAC